ATATATATATATAGAGAGAGAGAGAGAGAGAGAGAAGGTACAAGACAAATAAGAAGCAGTAGCCGAGCGAATGTATCTTATCCCCAGCTTTTGAGAGAACGACTTCCTTCTCTCGGCAGTAATTCTGAGGACGAAGGAAACATTCAGAAAGCGGGAGAATAAGATATCACGAAAGACCAAGGGGAAACCAATGCTATTACAAGACTATCTATATCAATCAGGATGCTGTTGTTTAATCTCTTGAGCGCTTAAGAGGCGCGAACTGACTTGAGATAAGGCCACCGTGTTACCAATGTTTCAATAAAGCTAATTACTGTAACAAAAAACTTTTCTCTGACAACGATCTTCCGTTGATAAAAGGCAATGGATGCGGTAAAAAATAATTTCTGCTGTATTTTGTTTCAGGAAGAAAATGTGGAGCTCGGTTACCGCAGCTGGCACTGAAAATGGACCAGCACCACCTTCGAGGAGCAAGCACAGTGCCACCTTACTTGCCGGTCACGTATATCTTCTCGGTGGTCGAAATGGAAACCTACCTCTCAAAGATCTCTGGCGATACAGCCTCGGTGAGCCTATACATTTTTGCGCTTGTATAGCAGCTCGCTCACCATCGCGCGTATTACCTTAATCACTGCGTCTTCAAATATTAGAGTACGATCATCAGTAATGCGTTGCTTCGAGAACATAAAAAATCCCAATAATTTTCGAGAATGATACTGCAGTATTTCGATTGGCTCCAAGTACGCGATTATAATACCAACGTCGTTTCTGACCAGCGCACCCCATCGCATCTCCTGGCGCACCCCCTAGGACGAGGGTGCGCGACGGAATTTGAACGGGGTTCAGGTCTGATCAATAATGCACCATTATTAAAGCCTACGTACATCAGTTAAATCCGCGGATGCTACTCCACAATTACGTGGTGTTTCCACGGAGATCAGACATACGTGAATTAATTGCGTCCGCCGGCCATAATCGGTGGCTTATGTACATGACAGGGAGAGATTTTCCTCCGCCTGAAATGTTCCATCCGCTTCTATTCGCATTTATTCCTAACACAGGGGGAAGAATTAACGTCTTATCCCGCTTTTGAACAATTAAAGTCTCATATCATAACTCTTTTTCTCATGTTCTGTACATTTTGATTAACGGAAGCAAGGATTAGCTTATTGTTATGATGCTGCGTAAGATCATTTAAAAGAATAAACGTC